GGAAAACTCCGGGAGCTTTGCCAGGCAATGCACTATAAATGATTCAAACAACTTATAGTCTATCATACTAGATGACCTGTAATATCTGATCTTCCTGACTGCACTCCTTACACCTCTCCGTGCAATGTGCTACCCTGCAGCACTCCTAGTCTTGTGGAATCGTCTATTTCCCTTGGATCGAAGAAGAACACCTTGTTCCTCACAGACTGGAACTCCAGTCAACTTTCCTCGATCTTCAGGACTCTGACCAGATGTAGAGGAAAAGCAGTTTGGTATTTGGGTTATAGAAACTATATTTTTCTCACCAAAACAATCAAAGTAGATGAATGTTGAAAGATAAAATCGAATGAATCTTTCACGGATGAAGTTCTCTCAATGTTCAACCTCACAATCTTCGTACAGAAGTGTTTTGGAATATATAGATAGGTTAGAAAAATGAATTGGCCTAGTAAAAATGTTTGAAATCGCGAAATAAAATTTTCCCGGATAAACACTTCGCTCGAGCGAAGGTCGAGCAACAGTATGTCGCTTGAGCGAGGAACGGGCGACAATCAGCGACAATGTTTCGGCTTTTATAGCTCGAGCCAAACCTTGTCGACATTCTAGCGAAAATTCCCGCCGTTTTCCTCTTTTTGTCATTCTCGAACTCTAGACCTACTAACCCTGTTTTCACCTCGAGTGAGGAAGGAGCAACACTTCAGTGACAATGTTTCTGATTTTGTAGCTCGAGCCAAACCTTGTCATTCTCGAACCCTATACCTAAAACATAGTACAATTTAGTCATTTTGTTTACAAAATTGCCAATTATAGAACATCTAAAACCTGACAGTATGGATATTATGTGCTAATTATCCTTTTAATAGTTTATTCGAGGACTTATTTGCGTTTTTTTAAAAAAATTGAGACTATGGTTGCAATTAATTTTTCTTTTTCATTTTGTTTTATTTAAAGGGAATGATATATTCGTCATTTCACCATTTTTAATTTAGAAAATGGATGAAAATGATTTTTTGCACAATAAAAGGTTAAAATAAGAGTGAAAATACCAAAAAAAAAAAAAGTAAGGACATTTTCCACAATAACAATGAAGGTGGAGACGTTTTGTGATAATTACCCTATTTTGTATGGATCACTTTAGGTACCTTCAATGCACGAATTTCAATACAATCAAAGTACTGGGCGAAATTAGGTTAAGAGAATGGAGATCATACTATATACCGAAATATAGAGACTTCTTTGGGAGGAAGAAAAATATAATTTATATAGAAGGTATGGAGGTTTTCAAAGGTTGAAGAAGTGGGTGTCTTGGTGCAAGATTGATCATTGTTTTTTCTTGTGTTCTTCCACAATTCGCTGATGTACTTTCAATCTATAGTTATTTTTCATTGTTGATTATGTGCAATTAACTTTTTAGTTAGGAACTTAGGATGAATGATGTAGCCTAGTTGGAACTTTTAATTTCTTTTATCAAATATTATTTCATATCTTTCATCTCTTTAATGTTGTTTTTGTTACAGTTCTCAATGTTTGGACTACTTAGCTATTATTCTAATGTGTTTATGAATAATAATGAATCAAGAGGTGAGTTATTTGTCTTCATCACGTAGTAAAAATCGGTAATTGAGTAAAAGATAAGAGGTATGCTTTTCGTATTGTGATGTCCTTAATTGAGTTCCTTCGTGATTTACTTTGCTTCATTAAGGGATAATTTGATTTCACATAAAGATATAGTTAGTTTACTTAATTAAGTAGGATTAATTTGAACTCAAGGAATGTAAAATAATTAAATTTGAGCAATTTGACCAAATACATCTACTTGATTATTATTGGAACTTGATGATAGGAATTAAGGGAGATAACTTGTTGACACACAAAAGGTGCAGCCCAAGCACAAGGCTCAAAGAGCGAAGCAGCCCACTCAAAAGGTCCAAAAGAGCAAGGCCCAATCGAGGTCCCAGTATCTGAAGAGCGG